AAATATAAATCCTCCTTAAGTGCTTGTCCAGTGAAAAATATGAGTGTCTTGAGCAATTCTTGGTAATTGTATACAGGCGTTTCGAGGTATCCACTTGATGGGGGGAAGAAAATCACTGCCACTAAGTAGACTGTGTACTAGAGTGTGTTTTTTTCATTAAGACTGTCATAGATGTTTATGGAAATAAGAAGAGTCCATTTTATTGACTTGATTGTGGGATGAGTGATCCCACTTTAGCAGCATTATTGTTGTTCCTCACAGGCCTTACAAACTTCTATAAATCAAATTCTAAGCCCTTAGTGGATGACATTTGTTAAAGTGACACTGTCCTTCTTTAGAAAATGCTAGATACTTGGCTGTGTCTGACTTCAGTACATTTTATTCATATAAATGAGTGCCAGATAAGTGTCAGAACTACTTATTTTATACTTGTTCTGGGTCAGTGATGCAGACAGTAATCAAATTAGAGCATCAGGTGGACAGCCAGGGAACTAGCATTCTTAAAAGAGGGTTCAGAAATGGCAGCCTCTGCTGATAATCTCTCATGACTGTTCTTTTAAAACACCGGTTATCATAAAAAACTGTCATTTTATATTTACTATTTTCAATTTAATTATTAATTTCTACATCTCATCTTCCTGTCTTCCATTTCCTGTCTACATGCAGTTACTCCAATATTGCCTGTATGATGATAGTTTATTCCTAGAAGTGGCAATAGTGGACGATGCCAGTGCAATGAGCACCAGCCCTGCTACTTATGGTCTTCTTGACCTGATGAAGGGGTCCTGCAAGATTCCGAATGTTGCTTCTGTTATTATACTGTGATTGGTGATAAAGCTTTGGATCTGTTTTGGAGATCCTGGTGTGCTGATGAAATTTCTCATGATGGCAATGCAGGAGATCAATTTTGGGACCAGGACAGACTCTATTCATCTCTTAACAGGTAGTATCTGATCAGAGACCTTCATGCTAGGATCACCAGGTATTAGTTAAATGAAACCTTTACATTTACCTGTCTCGCATGTGACTGATGAAGGGGTCCTGCAAGACATCAAAAAGTCTTGTATTATGATATGATGTGATCACTGAATAAAGCTTTGGACCTTTTTTGACGATCGTGGTGTGCTGGTGACATTTCTCATGATGGCTCATGAGAGCAATTTTGAGGTCCGGACAGAGTGCATTCATCCCATAACAGCTAGCACCCAATCAAAAACCTTCATACCAGGATTATAGGGTGTTAGTAAATGAAAAAAATTTCATATAAAAATAATTCAAAGCTACTTTTCAAATGATATCCAATTTTAAAGATTTAATATGATTTTAGTGATTGTGTTTACATTCACTTTAGAGAAGTATAGGCAAAGCTGTTATGGCTATACTTTTTCTGGGGATCACAGGAGTGCAGGTCTTTCTTTACTCCCATGACATGTTTTCTGCCAATAGTGGGCGTAAAAGCCCGCTGCCAGCTGATGTCACAAAACCAGTTCAGGCTCTGAAAAGATCCATCCATATGGTCGAGATCCATCCAGATGCCTGGACTGGCAGCTGGCTCAGCCTCTCAACTGTGCCGCTTGAAGACTGAGCCAATTGCTCTCTCCCCTCCACAGCCCAGCACTCCAGTGAGCACTAGGGGGGGGGGGGGGGGGAGCAGAGAGCCAAAGACTGACAGTCACTGGCTCTCTTCTCAGATCGGAGAGTCTAGAATTGAGTGATCAGTGGTGTTTGATTGCTCAGTTGTCACTGCACAGCCATCAGGGGACAGAAGCAGCATCAATATGTTGCATCCACCTAGGTGAGTATAAATGGTTTTTTTTTTGCAATTCCAAAATTGTCTTTTAACCACTTTCCTGCTGCTGTATAGCAGAAGTACTGCTGCAGGGTGGCAGGGCTGTGGAAAATCACACATATATATATATATATATATATATATATATATATATATATACGTGACTTGCATTTCTGGATAGGGGGCACATGCTATTGGTGGCTAGGGATGTCAATCACCCGGCCGGCACTCAGCGATCATCGGGTAAAGCTGACAGGGGAGAGACCTGTCTGTAAACAACACAGGTCTCTCTCCTGTCAGCATGGTCAGCACAGCAGAGAGATACAAAACAGCATGTCTCCTTGGTAAACACAGCACACAGTAAAACACACACAACACAATGTTAACCCCTTCCTGCCCAGTGTCAGTTGCTTTTTATTAACACTGATCACTGTATTAGTGTCATTGGGGATGTCAGTGGTTGTTAGTCAGTTCCCACCCAGTGTCAGAATGCCTGCCGCAGTCCCGCTATAAGTTGCTGATCGCTGCCATTACTAGTATATAGATATAAAAAAAAAAATCCAGTATATATATCGCCATATGTAGACGCTATACCTTTCATGCAAGCCAATTAATTTACACATATTGGGATTTGTTTAGCAAAGATATGTAGCAGAATACATTTTGGCCTAAATTTATAAAAAAAATTAGATTTTTTAAATTTTTTATTGGATATGTTTTATAGCAAAAAGTCAAAAATATTGTTTTTTTTTTTTCAAAATTGTCAGTCTTTTTTTGTTTATAGTGCAAAAAATAAAAAACGCAGAGGTGATCAAATACCACTGAACGAAAGTTCTATTTGTGGGAAAAAATAACAAATGTCATTTATGTACAGCGTTGCATAACTGCACAATTGTCAGGTAAAGTAATGCAGTGCTGTATCGCAAAAAATGGCCCGGTCAGGAAGAGGGGTAAAGCCTTGGAGGGCAAGTGGTTAAAGTACTGTGAATTTTTGCTTGGTGAATGTCACTGGGGCAGAATGGAACTGAGAATTTCCCTGTGGGGGCACGAGGCAGTAACATTTTGACAAGACATATTAACCCTTGACAATTAATGGACGCTATGGGCAGCTATACTGGGGTTTATTTACTAAAGCTGGTTCACTCAGAATCTGGTGCAGCTGTGCATGGTAGCCAATCAGCTTCTAACCTCAGCTTGTTCAATTAAGCTTTAGCAATAAACCTGGAAGCTGATTGGTTTTCATGAAGAAGTGCACCAGATTCTGAGTGAACCAGCTTTAGTAAATAAACCCCAGTATAGCTGCCACTACCTTTAGTAAATAAACCCCACTGTGTCTGGGCCCACCTCACTACTGTATCAATGGAACATGTTATGGTTTGGACAAGACATTCAGGCAGGTATAAAAAATAAGCAGTATTAGGGTACAGTAATGCAATGGTTAAAACCTAACAAGAGATAGCAATACCGTTTGTCAGGTAAGTATTGTTAAGCGTGAGTTGTTATAGCATTTCCATTAGACATGCACACATCTGTCACCCACTGAGAGCTTACACTTTTAAAATGAACTTAGACTTGTGGTGGATTATGCGGCTTCTAAACAACAGTAAACTAAGGCCTTTGCTTCAGTGATTAGTGCACATATGCCATAAATCACATGTAAAGGATTTCCTGTTGTAAGGTTGTTAAATTATGCCTGAATACATATGGCAGATTTAGGATATTCTCGGTCCCCTAATTTTATGATGACAGATTTATTCAATTCTGACACATCAGTCTTCCACTTTAGAATTTCTGCTTTCATTAATCTTTAATATTATGTATGCTGCTGAGGTTCCTAGACAGGCTTGAAAATACCCTAAACTTTTTGAGACTAATGTCACTTGCTAAGGACACTTGGGGGTTGATTTACTAAAGGTAAATAGACTGTGCATTTTGCAAGTGCAGTTGCACTCTGCAAAGGGAATTTGCTCCAGAGCTTAATAAATGAGGTATTATTATTATTCTACAGTATTTATAAAGCGCCAATGGTTCACTCAGCGCTGTACATTACAAAGGGGGACAGAACATGTGACAGAACAATACCAATACAATGCAAAACATGAGGGGATCGCTTAACTTTGTAAAAAATACCCAATCACATGCAAAAACAGCATTTGTGCTTGCACATGATTGAATGATGGAAGTCAGCAGAGCTTCCCTTTATTTACTAAGATCTGGAGCAAATTCTCTTGCAGAGTGCAACTGCATTTGAAAAGTGAACAGTCTGTTTGTCTTTAGTAAATCAACCTTTTAGATACCTAAAAAATGATGAGACTATGGGGAGTCTGTATATTTATATATGCAGGCTAAACAAAAAGAAAACTTACAGATTCCTGCATCCACATAAGCAAGGTGGATGTCGGAACCTCCCCTGCCTGGACACTGTATTCTGAAATCGGGACCAGAATACACTGATCAGCACGGCAGTCACTGATTGAAGAAGGTTTTCCAGTGGGTTGGTTTGGCAGAAGCTGATCTAACGATCAGCCTCTTTTGCAGATGGAGGGCTAAACACAGATCAAAATTCAGCCAATCCCTGCTGAACAGGCCAAATTTCGAAACATGTTTGCCAAGCTTAAGGCATCTACCTGGTCAGAGTACCTGTCTTTATGCCCATACAGGCCTGGATACATGCTTCATGCTTGCCTGGACACATACATGCTACTACAGCAATCTGCACTGGCTGTTTGAAAAATACTCCCCTGTCTCCAATCTGTCTCACACCTGTTCAGAGATTTTCACTGCTAAAAAAATACCCTGGCAATATACAGTATATACACTATATTGGCAAAAGTATTGGGATGCCTGCCTTTACACACACATAAACTTTAATGGTATCACAGTCTTAGTCCATAGGGTTCAATGTTGAGTTGGCCACCTTATAACAGCTTCAGGAAGGCTGTCCACAAGGTTTAGGAGTGTGTCTATGGGGATGTTTAACCATTCTTCCAGAAGCGCATTTGTGAGGTCAGGCACCAATGTTGGACAAGAAGGCCTGGCTCCACAAGAAGGCCTGGCTCCGCAGTCTCCACTCTAATTTATCCCAAAGGTGTTCTATCAGGTTGAGGTGAGGACTCTGTGCAGGCCAGTCAAGATCCTCCACCCCAAACTCACTCATCCATGTCTTTATGGACCTTGCTTTGTGCACTGGTACACAGTCATGTTGGAACAGGAAGGGGCCATCTCCAAACTGTTCCCACAAAGTTGGGAGCATGAAATTGTCCAAAATGTCTTGGTATGCTGATGTCTTAAGAGTTCTATTCACTGTAACTAAGTGGTGAAGCCCAACCCCTGAAAAACAACCGCACACCATAATCCCCCCTCCACTAAACTTTACACTTAGCACAATGCAGTCAGACAAGTACCATTCTCCTGGCAATCGCCAAACCCAGACACGTCCATCTGATTGCCACACAAAGAAGTGTGATTCATTACTCTAGAGAACACATCCAGTGCTCTAGAGTCCAGTGGCGGTGTGCTTTACACCACTGCATCCAACGCTTTGCATTGCACTTGGTGATGTAAGTTGGATGCAGCTGCTCAGCCATGGAAACCCATTCCATGAAGCTCTCTACATACTGATGTTGTGCGAAGGCCACACTAAGTTTGGAGGTCTTTAACTATTGACTATTGACAGTTGGTGACTTCTGTGCAGTTGGTGACTCTGCCATTTTACATGGCCTTGCTGTTGTTCCTTCCCAATTGCTTCCACTTTGTTATAATGCCACTCGCAGTTGACCGTGGAATATTTAGTGGCAAGGAAATTTCACAGATGGACTTATTGCACAGGTGGCAACCTATCATGGTACCACGCTTGAATTCACGGAGCTCCTGAGAGCAACCCATTCTTTCACAAATGTTTGTAGAAGCAGTCTGCATGCCTAGGTGCTTTATTTTTTACATCTGTGGCCATGGAGGTGATTGGAACACCTGAATCCAATAATTTGGAGGGGTGTCCCAATACTTTTGGCAATATAATGTATATATACTACCTATTGCACCTCTTTATTACACAAATGTCAAATGCTAAAAATGAAATTTTCTCAGCAGTACACAATCATTGGTCACCATCTTTTTTTTCACTTATTTTTTATTAAAGATAAACAAAAAGCAGAAATGGTACATGGTGGGTTTATCATATGCCCACAGTGATAAAATTAGTGATACATCCATTCCAAATACCAACAAAGAACAGTGAGTACAGAACATTATGAAGCTCCCCAGTGAGTTTGCTGTACAAAATGCTTATTAGGCAGATAGCCCTCAGACAGTAGTTACCAAACCTTAAAGTATAACTCACCACTAGTAGTAGAGCAGCAGTAAAATAAAGACGCATTCAAGGCAAAGCCACAAAAACCTCCATTCAGTAATATTCACCTGAAAACCTGGTTGGTCAGTTTCAGTGACAGTTGCCTTGGGTAAGCTATAGTGGTGCGGGTTTGCTCCAGTGGGTGCCTGCCCAGGAGGGGGGGGGGGGGGGGGTGTCACTATTTTTTCAAGGGTTAAGGTTGAAAGAGCAAAACTGTGATATGCTTCTACAAAAATTATTTTTTAAGAGTTACTCTTTTAAGAAGTACGGCCAAAGCTTTGGAAAAGCTCTGTTCTGCAAAGCACGTTCTGTACTCCTGTGACCCATTTTAAGGTGACAGCGGGCTGAAGCCTACAGTTGGCTGACATCATTCAGCCAGTCCAGGCTGGAGGAATATCTCGACTTTAAAGTCTGAATCCACCCTAGAGTCTGGAGCGGCACCTTGTTCAGCCTCTCAGCGATCTGCTGAGAGCTGGAGCCAGCCTCTCCCTCCTCCACAGCCCAGTGCTCCAGTGAGCACGGGAGTTGGGGGGGGGGGAAATAGATAGCGGTGACTGCTAGTCACTCTACCTGCTCAGAGTCGGTGGGGGACACATGCAGCATCAGGCCGATGCTGCATCCACCTAGGTAAGTATGATTTTTAAAACTAACGAATTCCCATACTTCTCTTTTAAACCATTAGAGTTAGGAATTGTTGGTATTTCCCTTACTTTGAATAATCATTTATTGAAAGGAAACAAGCTAGCAAAAAATAAATCTATCTATAGAGATTTTTTTCCCTTGTGATTTTCTTCATTCTTTATTTTTCTCCTTCAAAATAATGATGGAAATGAACTATGATCGAATCTTAATGCAGCTCACATTTGATCATAATCACATTATTTTCATAGGTTTAAGCTGACAAGAGTTTGATAAAGAAGCTAATGATTTCTAAACTTGTTTGCATTGTATGAATACAGCTGATTTATTGAATGCGATCTGAAAATCAAGGTTCTGCTAATAGAAGACTGTCATTTGGCAGCCTCCGTTGAGAAAAGAAATATTCTCTTCCCTTTGACACAATTGGACACTCTTCATTCTTTTTTCTGTTTGGAAGCCTTTGGTTTTGTCAGACTGCAGACTAATGCGAACGCCTTAGAATAGTCATTTACTGTCTGCAAAGAGGAACATAAAATGCTTTTCAGTAGGAATAACATAAGAAATGCGTGCAAAGATAATGCACAGCCTGAAAAATACTTGTGCGTTGACAGCCATCCAACAGTGTTGTCACAGCAGGAAGACATCAGTTGAAGAAACAGATAGCAACCTCAAGAAAAAAAAAAGGCTGGTCAGCAGCATGGACATGGATTGAGTAGATTATAAATCACCCCAGGGTCGCCGTGTTCCCACCATAAAGAGAGCACGGTTGTTTTATTATTGTAATCTAATAAGAGTAGGGAGCAAAGGACATCATTAATGTGCATTTAGAAAAAAAAATCACGGTTACAGTTTCAAAACTATACTGTTTCCTTGGCCATTGAAGTGTAAGTCATAGGGTTAGAGCATTACTCGGATTGGATTACTCTTTATAGCTATATGTAATCCCTTGTTTATGAATTAGAGAGCACTCAAAGAACTTTAAGATTGTATTTTAGAGGAGGCTTAAAGCAGAATATACATAGTAAAATGATGATACACTATTGATTTAGACATAGGTATTTAGTACTTAAATGGGAGGTTTATTAAGAGGAAAAAAAAAATGTGGTTTCGTATTATTTGTACTAATTCAGACTGTTGTGCTGATAGATTTACTGTACTCTGTCGTTCAGTTCAGAAAACTTCAATGTGAAAGCCATGAATGAGAATGGGGGCTACGCCCCTCGCATGGGTATGTTACAAGAGAGCATTTAATTCTTAGTCTGCTGAGGGTCTTTAATACCACCTGCTGAGGCCTTGCTTGTGCTTGGTAACCAGGCTAAATATATTAGACTATGTATTGTGTATTATCTTTCTCACATCCCTTCAAGCATTTGGCTAGTTGTAAACGTTATAAAAGTAATTAGACAGGGATCACTTGTGCGGTGTTAATGCTGCAGAAATTAAATCTAGTGCAATGGACCCATTTACCTGATGAAAGGCCGGAGTGTTAGTGTTCCAAAAAAAAAAAAAGGCAGTTAATGGTCACTATGTATGCTGCACTTTGTCAAGGAAACGTGGTAGTCCATGTTTTTGCAATGAATTGGGTAGTTTTACTCACTACATAATAATATTGATGATAATAATAATAATAATAATAATAAACTTTATTTTATATAGCACTTTTAAAAGTAGCTTCTCATTGTGCTTTGCAAAAACACATCTTTGTACATACATCTTGGTCTATTTCACAGCAGTTTTTGAAAAAGTGTTCTGTAAATGAGAACATAAAGCAAACATCTAATATATATATTTCTCACTGCATATGCATCAAAATAAAAATCTGTGTTCACCAATGGGAAGATGCATACTAAAGAGTGCCTAATTACTTTAACACTAAGATCTTTTGTTTTGTTGCTTTTAGGTGCGCTATGCCTTTATACCAGGGGTCTCCAAGCTGTGGCCCTATGTTTGCCTTTATCCGGCCCTTGGGGAACTATTCCTTCCACTGACATCAAAGACGGAGTACTATTCCTCCCACCGACACCAACAATGGGGTACTATTCTTCTCACCCACACCAGAGATGGGGAACTAATTCCCCCACTGACACCAATGATGGGGCACTATTACACCCACTGACACCTATGATGTAATTTTTTTACTCCCACTGACTACCAAGCCTATGGCAGTTTACTCCCACCATGCCAGTGCATTTTGTACTGCTACTGGCCAAAGACCAGCCCCCCTAATGTTTGAAGGGCAGTAAATTGTCCCTTTCTTTAAAAGTTTGGAGACCCCTGCTGTATACAATAATTAATAGTGTCAAAGTGCATCCAACTGTGCAAAAATGCAATCAAGCTCTTTTAATGATATAAAAGTGCCTTACATAAATAAACATGCAAAAACATGAATCACAGTAAAGTGCAATAAAATAAATATCAACATTGAATTACTAATGTATATACATTTAAAAGTGCTTGCACAATAAATAATGTTATAATACACATTTCATATAGAAAGTCAAGCAAACATCACATCAGCATCACAGCTACATAATCAAAGTTGAGCATATTGTCAAAAATACTTAAAATGAAAACAAACAATCATTAGATCAAGAAATACAAGCAGCTGAAGTTATATACAGATCTTTACTTGTCCAGTAAGTTTTGAGTCCCACAGAGGAATAAGGAGAAAAGAATAACTTTATATACTAAAAAATATGAAAAGTGTATATAGTAAACTTGGAAAGAAGGCTAAAGACAAGGGGGCTTTGTTTGAACCCTAAGATAAATAAGATTTAACCTCCACATATAGAAAATGTTCTTAACAGTAAGTGCAGTGAAAATGTTAAGTATTGGCCCACAAGTGCTGGTTCTTGTCAACTCAGTAGATTTATTTTAAAAAGGGCTGAACATGTTTCTAAATGCACAAAGTATGAATGGCTATTAATATGTACAGTATATAAAAACATGTAAACTGTTGATCCAGGGAGTATGTGATTGCTTTTGGGCGACAGGAAGAATTTTTCCATGTCAGAGCAAATGAGCCAATGGTGTTCTAATGTCTTCCTCTAGATCAATGGTGGGTTTATGGTTTTGAAAATGGAAGGTATGTGTCTATAAGAAATACAACCATGAGTACAATAGTAGAATCTGAGTGGATGGGAGACAAAGCCTTACCTGCACAGATAACCACTAGGAGCTGAGGATGTACATATGTGTGGACTATCTTTTCCAGATGTTAAGAACTGCGGTAAGTATTCATGTTAGAAAAAACTGGTATTTTATTAGGTGCACCTGTTCAATTGCTTGGTAACACAAATTGCTAATCAGCCAATCACTTGGCACCAACTCAATGCATTTAGGCATGTAGATGTGGTGAAGGCGACTTGTTGAATTTCAAACTGAAAATCAGAATGGGGAAGAAAGGGGATTTAAGTGACTTTGAACATGGCATGGTTGTTGGTGTCAGATGGGCTGGTTTGAGTAGTTAAAAAACTGCTGATCTACTGGGATTTCCATGCACAACCATCTCTAATGGTCCGGAAAATAGAAAATATCCACTGAGCGGCAGTTGTGTGGACGAAAATGCCTTGTTGATGTCAGAGGTCAGAGGAAAATGGGCAGACTGGTTGCTGCGACATTCAGATGGTAGGGTCAGAATTTGGCATAAACAGCATGAAAGCATGGATCCATCCTGCCTTGTATCAATGGTTCAAGCTGGTGGTGGTGGTGTAATGGTGTGGGGGATGTTTTCTTGGCACTAGCAAGGTGTACCAAATAAAGTGGCTGGTGAGTGTATACTGTACTGAGGTAGAAAGAATATTCTGTCCCCTGTCACATAGCCAGTATTTCTTCTCATGGGAGAAACTACAGCAAGATATTATTTTGATGGATAATCTGCAGTACAAATGTCTTGGCT